AAACAACATAAGGAATGGTATCAATGTCAATAAGAATAGTAGTAATTTTGAGAATATTCCTTGAAACATTCCTACAGATACATATGTCAAAACTGGTTTGTGTGTCCCCTAAATTGTCAAGTGCCTGCTTCCTTGATGAAGCTAAATATTTGATAATATGTTATTCGCCCATTACTTCCATTAAATGTGGTGTCTCAGACATAACATTTGTTATGTTATGTGAAATTCCTGGGCAAGATTTTCAAAGGCACAAATAGTGTTTATTACACACTACTTTCTTTGGCAACTCAGTAATTTTGAATGGAAAGCCTTCCTACTGTTGAAGTCAGATTAACCTGCTACCCTTAAAATCCTATTGTTAACCAGTATTTGGTGATATTCTTTTCCTCATAATTTCTGTAGTAATGGTACCTATCTTAAAAGATTTCCTTCCTATGATAACCCATCTTTTTAAGCCGTTACCGGTTTTGATTTTTTTTTAGGTTTATTTCTGGGAGGTTATGTTTTAACATTAAGTGCATCTATGAACAACACGCTGTCAGAGCAATGTAACATGAGTTTGTAATTAATTTTTCTTTTTTTCTGATTGCTTTTGTTATTTTTTTTTATTTTCCTGTATAAATTTAGTTAGATCCTCAGTGTGAAATGTATTTACTGTAATCTGTATTTGTAGCCCTTTCAAGATTCTTGAAAAAAATAAAATAAAACAGCATTACTAAAGTACATTAAAAAATTACAGACACTTACCTGACCATTCTTATTTCACAAGGAAATTAGTGATCATTCAGAGAATATGAATGTAACAGATTGAAAGCTAAATACCAGTAATTTCAAACTTGTGCTAAGTCTTTTAATATTGGCTAATGACATTGCCAAGCCACACTCCATAATGTTTGAGAAGTCATGGCAGTCAGATGAAGTTCCTAGTGCCTGAAAAAAGGGAAACATTGTACCCATCTTTTAGAAAGGTAGAAAGGAGCACCATGGGAACTATCAGCCTGTTGACATCACTTCTGTGCCTTGGAAGATCATGGAACAGATCCTTCTAGAAGCTATACTAAGGCACATGGAGGACAAGGAGGTGATTTGAGAGGCCAGCATGGCTTCCTCAAGGGCAAGTCCTGCCTGACCTATGTAGTGACCTCCTGTGATGGAGTAACTGCCTTAGCGGACAAAGGAAGGGCTACAGGTGTCATATATCTGGACTTCTGTAAAGCCTTTGACACAGTCCCTTGCAACATACTTCTCTATAAACTGGAGAGAGATGGATTTGTGAGTGGACTGTTGGATGGGATAAAAAAGTGGTTGGACTGTTTCATCCAGAGGGTAGTGGTCAATGGCTTAGAGTCCCCATGGATATCAGTGACAAGTGATGTCCCCTGGCATTCCATACTGGGACCAGTGTTATTTGATATCTTCATTAATGGCATAGATGAAGAGATGGAGAGGAACCACAGCAAATTTGCAGATGACACCAGAGTGGTGTGGTTGACACACTTGAAGGATGGGATGTCAATCCAGAGGTACCTGGAGAAGCTCAAGAAGTGGGCCCATGGGAATGTCCTTCAGCTTATTAATAAGACCAAATGCAAGGTGCTGCACCTGGGTTGGATCAACGCCAGGTAACAATACAGGCTGGGGGATGAACAGATCATCGAGAGCAGCCCTGCTGAGAATTACGTGGGGGTGTGGTAGGTGAGAGGATGGACATGAACCAGCAATGTGCACTTGCAGCCCAGAAAGCCAACCATATCCTGGCTGCATCAAAAGGCTCTTGGTCAGAAGGTCAAGGGAGGTGATTCTGCCCCTCTACTCTGCTCTCATGAGACCCCACCTGGAGGACTGCATCCAGATCTAGGGTCCCCAGTACAGCAAGGACACTGAGTTGAAGTGAGTCCAGAGAAGGGCTGCCAAGATTATTAGAGAGATGGAGCACATCTCCTGTGAGGAAAGGCTGAGGGAATTGGGTTTGTTCATCCTGGAGAATACAAGATTTCAGGTTGACCTAACTGTGGCCTTCCAGTACCTCAAGGAAACCTACAGGAAAGAGACAAGAACATGTAGTGACAGAACAAGGGGGAATGGATTCAAACTGAAACAGAGTATATTTAGATTAGATATTAGGAAGAAATTATTTACTGTGGGGGTGGTAAGGCAGTGGAACAGGTTGCCCAAAGAAGCTGTGGATGCCCCATCCCTGGAGGTGTTCAAGGCCAGGTTGGATGGGGCTCTGGGCAATCTGGTCTAGTGGAAGGCATGCCTTCCAATGGCAGAGGAGCTACCTTTGAAGTCTCTTCCAACCCAACCCATTGCCTTTGTTGGTGGTTTTGGTTTTTTTCTTTCTTTTTTTTAAAGAGAATTATAGTAATATTCACATAATGATATTGTCTTTACTGAAGATTCTTTAAACCATGTCATTTACACTGTGGTGTTCAGTAGGAGTAAATGGATTTCAGGACCAAAAAGTATTTAACAGTTTTATTTATGCCCAGAAGCTTGTACCTTCTTTAACAGCTACTGACTATCACTCCAGAAAACCTAATTCTGTCAGAGTCCTGTCTCATTCCAGTTCTGTCTGCAATGAGGACAAAAGTAATTCAGAGATTTCTGATGAAGGAAAAAATACAGATAAAAGAATCATTAAATTAATAATTAAAATTTGTTTTCCTTGGGAACACAAGTCAATAAACAAAACCCACTGTCTTTAAGATGGTCCACAGTCAACACGTGCTGAAGTACTTTTGTTTTGAATAAACATAATGTATAAGGCCTTTTAGGGTTTAATTCTATGAGAGAAAAAAGTATCCTCAGCTAATAGTGTCTTGTAACTAGTCCCTCTAGGATATACTTTTATGACATAAGGATGAGGCTTCACTAAAAAAAAAAACAGTCTTAACCACAAGCGTACCTTTGGACTTTTCTTTAACCAGTTTAGTTAATAAAAGCTACGGATAGTAAGCAACTGATTTAAGATCCTGAATGGCTAGCAGAACCCTACTTCAGATTTCAACTATTTGTGATAACTATAATTAAATAAAATCTTGAATTAACTGAATATTATAAAAACACATAGTTGGTAAGGGTGGTTTTTTCAATATAATTTTTACTATGAGTTAGCTTCACACAAAGCTCATGGCCGTCTTGTTTCAGAGGTGGAAGAATCAATATACAAATGGCACAATTCTAAAAAAAAAGTTGGGATGCAGCAGAGGAAAATACTTCTTAGCCATAGTCATGGAACTATCTGAGCTAGAAGAAATGGTACTGGAACAGATGTTCTCATTTAGAAAAAGATTTCTAAAAGCTCAGAGAAATAAAAAGGCTTAAAATTAGCCTATTCAGTTACTCTATACACTGAAAAATAACCATTTAGCAAACTCTTCCCTTCCCATCCTTCCTCCCTGCCTCCCATTCCAAATACCTACAACAGAAGTTTTAATTTTAATGAATAAATCATAGCTTTCAGTAAGGCCTGAATCACAGCATCAACCTACTTAAATTTAACACTACTACTGTTGAGAACTAAGCAACCTTTACCAAAGTCAGAGACAAGCTGGACTGCTGAGGAGAAGCATAATACATTATGCACGGTGCCAGAAGGTGAAACTCTAATGATAAGGAGAAAAAAACAGAAGGAGTTGTGGCTTGAAAAAGAAAGAGTGACAGCATTATTCTACTGTCAGTGTGTGTCTTCTATATCACTTCCACTGAATATATTCACAGAAAATATGTGCTCCTCCAGATGTACAAATAAATATTAAATAGGAAGTGTCTTGATGATTAAAATAAAAATCAAAGATATAAAAAATGTAGTAATGGTATGCTGAGTAGTCATATACATTCAAGATTAGGCTGAGTTATAACAATGAAGAGTCAGTTCTTATCTCATAAAAGATTCCTACTATTAAGAGAAAGGTCATCCTTTTTTTCTTTTGTAATATATCCTGCTAGTGTGATAAAACTGGTGAAGTTTAGAATACAGTGTTGATGAATCAGTAAGTTGCATGGTTTCTTTTACATCCTTCTCGAAGGCCAATTCTACAGAGTACCCTAAACTGAAAGTGTTAAATATGCTGCTTGAGAAACAAAAAAAAATAGCCAGAAATTGTCTTCCATAGGAAAAGTCACAAATCGTGATTATTATCTTATCACAACCCCTAGTATTAATTATTTGAATGAATAAAAATTATAACTGAAAAATATTCTACTTGACTGTTCCACAGGTTGCTGCTAGTTTGCTTTTCCCTCTCAGAGAATGATTTCCTGGCTGGAAATGGTTGTCTGAAACAATTCTGATAAAATTTTCATGCTTGTATTCTAAGTGTTTTTTTCTGGGAAGCACCATACTTGTGTGATAGCATCCAGTCTAGAAATGTTCCTTTCTCTAAGGCTTGTAATTGATTACAATGACTGAAACTTAAGCAATTTATTTGAGGGTATCTGTTCAATCTTGATGATTTCATTCTGTCTATACGCAGCAGAGAAGATTAATTTACTGCATCTAACTGGCTCCAGAGGACTTTTTTTATTCAATATTGTGTTTCTCTCATGGAAATGGCAGTAAAACGCCCTAGATAGTGCAGGATACATAATACACAAAACTCAGAATATTAAACAACATACAATTTATTTCATTTTATACTTATCTGAAACTGTTACAGAGAGTTTTTGTTTTTGCAGATAAGGCAGAAAGGAGTGCAGATGAACAACAATGTATTCCATAACTTAGAGGGATATAATAAACAAACAGAGTAAGAGATTGAATTATAAATCAGAATATTCTAATTTAAGCTATAAATATCTGTCTTTGAGACATATACTTGTCTGAAGTTTGCAAATTCATAAATGTATTGGTTTTAAACCTATAGTACAACAGTGTCTTTAAAAAGTATTTTGGTGATTAATATAATACTGTCTTTTCTTTATTACATGCTCCTTTCATTTGTTTACATTACAGAGTATACCCAAAGAGAGAATTACTGCCATTCTATATAAAGATGCAACAAAGAAGTTAAATAAATAAGAAATGTTTTTGTAAAGTTCTAAGGTCCATACTGTAGAAGTATCCATATTGAACACTATGTTCTTATCTGTGTTTACAATAATGAAAAATTATACAAGCATACATGTAGAATAATACATGTATTACATTGTTGGAAAATAATAACAAAATATCCTTCATAGAATTACCACTAGAAAAGTTTGAAATGGTATAGCATTTGCAGAGAGAGAAAACTTGACAAAGGTAAGTATATGTAATGTGATGTGATAAATTGCTCAAATATGTTGCTGACAACAATTCCCTTGATGGAAGCAAAGAAAACCAGTCACCTTTGAAAACAAGGGGGTTGTATTCTAATCTTGAGTGACCTTGAATGGAATTTAATTACTTTTATTAGGATAAAGATGAACATGATTTTTTAGGACACCTCTGCATAGCAAAATAAAAGTCTGACCAAGACTTAAAATAATTTTTCAATATCGGCAATAATTAAGACATTAATATTACATTAAGACATTAATAGTACTGTTAGAAAGCAAATCCTTCAAGACTAAGGATTTTTCTTCAGATTTTTATTGTATGACAGTGGTGATTACCACTTCTCATGGCAAGACTGCAAGTATGTGATATCCCCAAAGTATGTGGAACTTGGCAGATTCATACTTCATTATGTTTCTTCAGTGATCCAATTGTTTCTGAAGCAGTCACTACCACTCACAACATTTTTTTCAATCAGACTCTACACATTTCTATTCTGTCTGACAGAAAAATATCCAGTCAATAAACTTTCCATTATCTAGGCATCATATGTGCTATAAAATTTATACAGCACATCTATACATGGTGTTTATATTTAAGATTCTGCAAGGCTACATGTATGTTTTATTGTAGGTATGTACTTTATATATTGTTATATCATGGCCCTTTCATTGACAAAGAAACAAGGTATTTGGATCTTCTGTGTTCCAGGGCTTCTTTCCATAGGGATATTCTATATTGTAACACAGATATAGTTTATTATATAAACTATATATGTTTATATACATTTTTTATGTCCTGACATGGTATGCAGTAACCTGTATATTCCTATTTTCTTTCTTTACGAATAGTAATTTCAATTGAATTGAAAAGTCCAAGCATAAATTGAACATAGACATCATGGACTTTAAAAGTTAACTAAACATGCCAGTCCAGTATACACTTTCACAAGACAAATTATCATATAAATAACATAAAAATACATACATTTCCAAGTAGGGGATGAAATTCGTCTCACTGAACTTGTTTTCCTTCTTCCCCAATTTGGTCCTCAAAACTGTAATGCAGATAAGTGGCTTGAGTAAATTAAGAATGTTTATAAATATATTGTGAAATTATTATATTTGATTATTTCATATTCCTCATCACAAGAAAAAAAGACTTGAGCTCCATACATCTGAACATGTCTTGACTAGAGAGGAGAAAATTTTTCTTTTTTTTTTACTTTCTTGTGAACTCAGATGTCACTCTGTACACTATGAGCAGTGGATTAACATGGCAAGGTTTTGGTAGCAGCAGAGCTACAGAGTTGGCACCTGTAAGTAGAGTCTATAAGCTGTAGTCATGTCCAAAAGACCAGTTCCAGCCAACTGCAAGACAGACCACGCAAAAATGAAACAGTCAGCTATGTTGGTGGCACCTCTACAGTAACATATTTAAGAAAGGGTGAAAACTGCTGTGAGACAACAATTGGAAGAGAAGAGTGTTCAGGGAATAAGGAGGGAGAGGAGTTGCTCCAGGCACTGGAGCTGAGATTCCCCTGCAGCCTGTGGAGAAGACCACGGCAATGCAGGTTGTTTACCTGCAGACCATACAGGTCCACAGTGGAGCAGAGAAGTTGGTAGTGAAGTTGAGCCCAGGAATAGGGAAATAGTTGGGGGAAGATGTTTTCAGATTTGTTCTTATTTCTCGTTATTCTATTCTGATTTGATTGGCAATAAATTAAAATGATTTCCCCAAGTTGTGTCTGCTTTTGTCTGTGTGGCAGTTGATGAGTCATCTCCTGCCCTTATCTTGACTCATGAACTTTTATCATAATTTCTCTCCCCTGTCCAACTGAGGAAGGGGAATGAGAGAGCAGCTTGTTGGGCACCCAACAGTCAGCTGAGGTCAATCCACAATTACGTATTTTGCTTTCCTGTTAGCACAAAATGGAGGTGCATGCTTTCAAGGAAAATTCCAAATGAATTAACAAGAATAAATACATTAATGCCATATACAAGCCTTTTGTACTGCTAAGTTCTTTAGTCTGGGTTTTAAATGGGAAATAATTGTAAATGAATTCCAAATTAATTCTTTTTGTTCAGAGACATTTTACATGCTACTACTGATTCATGGAAATTTTATTGGATTTTACTCAAGAATCAATTTATTGTTACCACAATACAAATTTAATACCCCCTCTGGCAATGTAAATTTTATTTGCATTTGAAAATAAAATAATTCTTCTTCTGTCTTTATTAGAGCTTTGGAAGAAGGGTCTGTTTTTCTTTTAATCAACGTATTTTTGTTAAATATTTATTACTTCACTTAAGGTCATTAATTCTAAATATTTATGGCAGTTTTCAATTATATTGACATATTTGGTATGACATATATAGATAATGCCTGTAAAACAGAATGGAGTCAGAACCATCAGAAATATTTTGTTGCTTGTCTTCTGTTGATGGTCTTTAGAATTAAATACTAGTATGCCAAGTGTTTCATCTGCAGCCTCAGAATAATAAAAGGAAATTCTCTGCTCGGGTGATTTGCAGCAAAGAATCCAAAGCCACTCTAGCATGCTAATCTAAAACTTTCCACATTAGCAAACTGAACAAGGACTCTGTTCAGGCACAGGCAGATACTTTTCCATAGTGTTTGGCTCTTCTGGCTAGCTAGAACTTGTCTAGACAGGGCTTGGGAAACACTGACACTCACTCTGTCAAACAGACAACATGAATAAGGTCATCCTGCTCTTGGGGGAGTAAGTTCAATCACACAGCTACAAACTGTGGTCTACTTCCTGTCTTTAGGGACAGAGAAAGAGCCTGACTGAGGTTTATTTATATCATACTTTCAGTCAAAATGATTCAATTTACAATACATGTATTACTACCAAGTCTATGTAATGCTTAACAATCAACTTGAAAGTAGATGCCTGGGAGAATCAGCCGGTCGAAGGAGTCTAGAGACCTGTTCAGCTGATAGGCATGATTTGTTCAAATTGACGCAACATAAAAAATTCTCTAGACTCCATTGAATATATTGATTATATTTTCTTAGGCTATGATGAATCATTACTATACAGGTGTTTACATGCTCCTATTCACTCCAGTTCATGAATTTGCACCAGCAGCTGAATGCCACACAAAGGTCTGAAGTGTAAAGGCATGTTTCAGAACACATTTCAGTCTCTAGTACTGAGATTACTGTTAATGATTATTCATCTCATTACACTTTACTCAAAGTATTTTCCACTTCCTAATTTTCACAGATATCATGATGAATATTATAGAGCATACAATCAGAATAAGGAGGAAGACAAAATATTCTATAACTTGAATTCTTCAAACATTGTGGAGTTTTTCAGAAAGATTATGGAGTGAAATATATGGAAAACTATCTGTGTGCTAAGTTATGTATAAAATGATTCACTTACTAACATATGTTACTTTCTAGAGCTTCTGGAAAAGCAAATAAGCACATATGGAAGGAATAAGCATGTAGGTAACCTATAAAGTCTAAATGAACAGGAGGCTGACTGACAAAAAGGGATTTTGATCTCTAAAGAAATTTGTAGCTAAAGAATGATGTCTTGTAAAATGTTCAGAAATTGTTGCAGTTCTGGAGAAAGTTAAAGAAATCAAAGATTGAAATTGCTGCATTCATGTCAAATCCTCTTACCTAAGAGAAAAAAAAAAACAGTTTTGGGGCCGCTAAGGTATGCCTCAAATATACTGTTTGCAGATGAAGCAGGGAACAAGCAGACAAGTGCCACATAAAACTGACAGATTGCCTAGGAATAATAAGTGGGTAAAATGATTGCATCAACTTTGATAATACATGTCTATTAAATTCCATTGCATGTTTTCACACTTAGATTTTTCAATCACATAGCTCTGTATGTCTGAATTGCATTGATTCTGGAAAATTCTACTTTCTTCTCCCCTTTTTTTTCCACATAGACCACAAATAAAAACCTTGCTTAACAAATAGCATCAATTACCTACAACAAAATCAGTTAAAAACTGATATCCAAATGACAATGTCTTAACAAACAAATACATGAAAGTGAATACATTCAAAGGAATCACTTTATCTACTACAATATAATTTATGGATTAGTTTTGATTTCACAGGCATTCCAGATGTTTTTGCAATTTGACTTCTTTTTTCTTAATAGAAACTGATTTTTGGCATAAGAGAATATTCTGACCAATAAAATACAGAAAATTTCCGGTCTCTTATATATCAGCTGGATTTGGCAGCAATATAACAATGCTACTTTGAGGTCTTTAATTACTAATATATTTGCAAAAGTAGGAAACTATATCTGTAAAGATTAAATGTTTGCACTGGCAGGAAAAAACTATAATGATAAAATATTTTTTAAGGAAAATGAAAAATAAAAAATGAAAAAGGGAACAGAAGAACTGCTGGAGAGGCTTCTCAACTATTTTTTAATTTCAAGGCATGCAATACCAGGAAACTTCAAAAAAAATCCAAGAACTTTGTGAAATACATACAGGCAATTCAATTAAAGAAAGTGCTATACTGCATTTTTGACACTCTACCTTCACACTTTAAAATTTTCACAAGAAGTAAAAGCTTTACAATACATTGCAATGGTTTATTAAAAGGAGTTCTAAGACATTGAGATTCTGCTACATAAAGCAATTTTATAAGTTGGTTTATCTAAACCAGCAGGCACAATTATTTAAAAACATTTAAATTTAAATTAAAACATTTAAGGATAAAATAAAATGCAGCTTCTGCACTTCTTCATATGCTTCTGTTTCTTCATGCAAACTTCTTAACCAATTATTTTTTGAATATTGACTTACTTCTATGTTCTGCCACAAAACCCTATAATATTCAAAGAAGAAAACCATTAGCTGTGACAGTGTGTAGTGTTTTGGGGATGAGGTATCAAAGAAAGTTTAAAAAAGTCAAAACAGTAAGACATCGTAACTGTATAGGGAGCTATTCTACATCCAGTATGAGCTGCCTCTGGTTGTTGAGCGCTAATTCCTTCTGTCTCAACATTTGTCCTCCTGCCAATGTTTGCTCTATCTTTCACTATGTTTGTGTTGTTACAGGCAGGCTGGCTCTCACTACACTGTCTGTATCATATATATCTTCAGAGTTATTTATATGCAAATCAACACGTATAAATGACTTTTCACTTCACTATTTCATTATAAATAGCAACAATGCTATTTCAGTAAACTGGTTTGTTAGCTTCAAAAAACATAGTTTTTTCACTCATTAAAGGTGAGGGACTGTGGGCTTTAGATACTGAGCTCAAAGACTACCTTCACTAAGAAAGTTCTAATAGATTGAAGGCTGTAGTGTAAAGCCTGGGTATTTCTTATGTGACACAGCACTGACTGCAAGTAAAATCAGGTCATCTGTGTTCTAAAAGTGTTTAAACCCCAGCCTATCTTCTGAAAACTAACAAAAGTGTAAATTAACATCAAGAGTGGGGGAAACTTTGGTCTACTAGAAACTTGTTTGAAATATCCTGCTCTGACTTTAACCAGATGATGGTGAGCTGCCTACTGGGAAAAGGATGTTACAGACATCTTAGAAACAGCATTTTGACACATTTTTTAATTCTCTCATAACTTATAGTTATTCCTATATCTGATTGTTACTTCTATGCAGATAAAATATCAACAATACAGTAACACAGATCATGGATTTTATTAACTACTTACCAATCATTATCTGAAAATTTAAAGTTATATGCTAATAGTAAAAGTCATATTCTAACTTACTAACATATGGAAAAAAGATACCTGACTGCACCTCAATCAAATAAGACCCTGATGACTTCAAGAACTAGAAGAGACCCTAAAACGGAACATAACATGTTTAATAATCATCTTCCAGGAATGACTTTGTAGTCTGAAAGTTTGGCCTATAGGAACAAGAGGGAGTGAAAGTGAAGCATTTTAGGAGCAGTGACTGTAAAGGCAATCCATATAATGTCTGTAAAGAAACTATAAATTGTTGCTTTGGAGTTTTTGATTTTTTAATTTTTTGTAGACTTTAGAAGCAGTTGATTAGTGAAGTAGTAGATTAGACTTAGAAGAGTTGATTAGTAGTAGCTGCATTTTATCCCTTACCCTTAACACAGTAGCTACATAGTAAACCCTGTTACTCAATTCCCATATTAATCCCCCTAAATTCTATTAGTCTGTTGAGTCTCATTTGCAAGGTAGAATTGTAGAGAACAGCCTAAAATCTGAGCAAGAAGATACAGACATAGACACAATGACCTTCAAGACCAGAACCTTGGAAAGCCTCCAAGAACTGCATGTGCTTTGACGAAGATGAAGAGGAGGAAGAGGAAATCCCAAAACTCCCCCAGACTCAATTCCTGAAGGAATTGAATTTCTGGGGGCAGAACAGGGTAGAACTGGGGCGGGGGGCAGGGGCGGATGGGGATTGGATGGAAAATTGTAGCACCTGTGTTCAAGGGCACCGTGGGTTGTATTCCTGGAACCTGGAGGCTCATTAAAACCTCTGCTGCTTATCTTACCTTCTACCTAATTTGGCCTGGAGTCTTTTTTTTCCTCCCATGGTCTTTTAGGCAACAAAATAATCACCTGAAACAACTCTGAAGGATATTCCTATATACTTTAAAATATATTGCCCTCACCTGTAAACTGAAGTGGAAGGAAGAAATCAGAGGTGTAGTCTCAAGTTTGAAAACTCTTTAAAAGATCTGATGTTTGATCCAACGCTCAAATATTAAATTATTGGAAAACAGGGTAGAAGATCCCACAAGTAAAAATAATAAATGTTGGCATTACCACAAAAAGTGTTATCATGCTTCACCTTTTCTAGAGTTCTCAGTTACAGCTGTAAAATCTTTTAAGTAGATGTCAAGTGTCAGTGGAGAAATAGCAAATTAAACCTTCTTAGTCTAATTCATAACAGTTAAGTAAGGTTACTTTAAGCAATGCTAGTGAAGGTTCCGATTCATCTACAACTGCACTGATGCACATTCTCAGTAGTGATACAATCAGTTACACCTGACATACAGCTGCTTTTTATAGTCTGTTTCCTATCATCTCTCTCTCACCTCAAGTACACATCAAATATTGCTGTATGTTTTGCATACTAATAATAATTACATGAAAAATTTCTAACTGTGAATCAAAATTTTAAAGGGGTATCCTGCCTATATTACATTTTCTCTTGACCTTCTACAATGTGTGGTACTTCAGCAAGACACTTAATTCAGAAATATTCTAGCATAACTACTAAATCAAAGTAAATGAAATAATTCTGGACAGACATTTGTGGTTTTCAATATCCAGATTTTAATAGGTATTCCTAGATATGAGCTAGGAAAAAAAAAAAAAAAACACCAAAAAAATCACAATTTTTAGTCATTATGGTGACACTAATTTTCTTTCTTGATCCAGTGCTTATTCAGACAAAGTTCCTGGTGTTCCCAGTGATGATAGGTCAAGACCTATTTAAAATGTCAGTAAAGAAAGGAAATTATATGAAGAAACTGGAATTCTTATACTAGTACTTGTTGAGAGGCTCATATAATATTGGCAGAATAATGACTGAGAGATGAAACCGTACTAATATATCACCTTAAAAGATATCTGAGTACAGAGGCTTCTTCCCTCAATATTAATAAAATTACAAAGCAGTCATAAAAGTGGACACTGTTAAGGGATACTGACTTCTGTAAACTTAGAGACTCAAGAGATTTCTTCTCCTCCACTTATTTGCTGCTGTTCCTGTTTGCAGGTCCACCCAGTAACAAGGTAGAACACATGCCAAAGATCTAGCTATACACACTCACAGTATATACACAGCACTTGTACAGGTTATGTAGAGCAATACCTACAGTCCCTTCCTTCCAACTCATCAGGATGCAAGCTCACAAGTGAACATAAACATGTTCTTCGATTTGTAGTCATTCTCACATTCATGGATCACTTCAAACTTGTTCCAGACCATAATAATCCATGCCTAGACCCCATTTATCCAGGCTCCATCTTCAACCTCAAATCTTTCTAGACTATGGCTTCCTCCTACCTTACCAGCTGGTGTAGGTTGAGGTTCACTAGCAAATCAAATATTACACACAGAATAAAGAGCAAGATCACACCCTAAATAGGAATACGGCTTAACAACAAAACAGGACAGACTGCACTGATCAGGAACAGATCTTGGCCATAGCAGCATATTCATCTGCAGCATATTTACATATATGTGTATGGCCTCTTCTATTCTCCCTCCTCTCCATTTTCACACACTCATTTCTCCATCCTTGATCCACCTTCATCCCTCCATTTGACTTTTCTCCTGAAAATCCCATGTTTTGTACCTGCCCACAAATAAATAAATTTCCTATATTGAATCTTATGTAACCACACAGGTACTCATAAATGTTCCTTAATAAGTGTGCTCTCTTCTATGAGACCTGTGATCACTTTGTTTCCCTCTCCTTCTTACCAGCTACAAAATTCTGACTCAACATTTACAAGGCTACAGTTGAGAGTTACCTCAGTGGCCCTCCAGTCAGTAAGCTGAGAGCTCTGGTCTTTATAAAAATATGCATATTAAAAGAAATTTCTAACTGATCTTCATTTTTTGACAACCTCATTCAGCTGATCCATTGCCTACTTACCTGTGAATACGGGTGAATTGATTTTGCAAGGTTAGAGACAGCTTGTCCACTTAAGCTTTTTTAGAAGATTTGGCTTTTCATTCACATCTATTGGAATTTCACACCACACAGAGGAAATGTCACAGTGACACCTAATAATACAATTTAGAATTTCATTTATGTTGCACAGAACACTGACATCACAGAAATCATTGCCATAAATTGGGATGAATTATTAAAATAAAGGCTGGGAGAGAAGTCCAGAAACAAATAAATTTTTTAAAAGTAATACAATCTAAAAGATAAGTAATAAAAGAGAGGAATGTGAAATCAGATGTCTTGATATAAAATAATTGTAAATTGACACATATTTGCCAAATGTTTGTTCATTTTGTATGTGTATACACTTCTTTGTGTGTGTGTGAGAAAGAGAAAAATTCAGAAAACTGATATAGGAGAACATTTTTTATTTAAAAATACTCTGCTTTCTATTTAAAAAGATCCTATTTTTTATTTAAAAATTATCTGCTTTGTGCAAAGACGGATAGTGGTAAAACACAAAAAGTGGACTCTCATCAAATAAAATAATTTTGCCGTTCAAGAATTTATTTAAAATTAATTGAACTGTTTATACACTGAAGTAAAAAATTTAAAATGGACGACCAAATATTGTATTCTTTTAACAGGCAATCGTTTCTGACTGTCTTCCTAGCTACTATTTGCTATTGCATCTGAGGTCAGCACATCATGATCTGCTTATGAGTCAGTATTCTAAGAATAAAAGCAATCATCTAAAGAGAAAAACATATCATGCATGATCAGAACAAAAAAAAAGGATATAAATTTTGTATTGGAGTTTGAAAGTATATTCAATAACTCCTTACCTCTATTACTTTCCTCTTTGCTGTTCTGCACATCTTTTGCATCATGATCATAATGACTGCTTTTAACTTCATCTGTCCTTCACAGTCTGCAGTGTAGCTATCTATATCTGGGCTTGTAATTTAGATGGCACTTAAAGTCAATGGCAAAAAAATGGTTCTTGTCAGGAATGATTCACCAAACTTATTTTAGTTGTTTATGTAAATAGGAAATCAAAGTCATTCTAGAAGTTCCCATTTCTGCCCTCTAACCACACAGAGGGTTCACATAGTGAACTGAAAGGGTGATATGTCTTTTTTTAGGCTTCTGAAATCAGAAAGAATGAACTACTTTATCCAGAAGAATTTGGCTCTATACTGTTGTGAGGTAGGAATACGCTACTCTTCTACACTGGGGAAAAAGAATCTTCTGGTTTCTATTGAGGAAAAAGAATCTTCTGGTTTCTATTGGGGAATGGCTATAAATGAACCTGTTGAACTCCATTCCACTCCATGCAGGAGAGGTCTGAACCCAAGACTGTAACAGATGGCATGAAAGAGAAAAAAAGACTGGTTTGGAAAAAGGAATGATAATTAAAAAAGAAAAATAAAGTTGAGTTTTAAGCTTAGGGAAGGGACTCAGTGCCAAACTGATAAGATCCATTCTTCTGCTTATGAAATTGTTTGCACATGACTATAATGTGGTTGCTGAGACTTACATTATTCAGAAATGGACAATAGTTGTAAGTGAAAATGAGGTGTTAGGCCTTTTCAAGAATATTAAGAAAATTATTATTCTTGCATAAATTGGATATAAATACCCTCCTCCCCCATACAACAGCTGTTTATTGCCTTTCTCTCATTTAATGGAAATGTTGGTGCTTCTGTATTTACACAAAGGCTTTTTTTCCATGCAGTTTTTCTCCAGTTAATGGATACTTTTAGTTGCTTTCTGCTTTTTCATAAATACATTTGCATACACACATGCACAGAGAAAAAAACCAACCGTATGTCCTGTCTGTTAATTAAATATAGGTGACCCTGCAGTTCTCACCAAGTATTTAGGAAAGTACTTTCTATATTTTTTCTCTACCTGGAATGAGTGAATGCATATGTGCATATGTTTACATTTATCTAGTTATTTTATTGACCACAAATGTAGGAAGAGTATTGGGGTGGGGGTTTTTTTGTTTTGTTTTGTTTTTGGGTTTGGTTTTTTTTTGTTGCTTTGTTTGTTTGTTTGTTTTTGTTGTTGTTGTTGTTGTTGTTGTGTGTGTTTTTTTTGTGTGTGCCTATTAGATTTTCAGTTATTATGTCTAATATTGACAATCTAGAATTGTTATATTTTTTACTTAATATTACCCTTTGGCTCTCAAATACAAAACAACAGGGAAATTTCAGTGAAACTCACCTAAATGGGCATCATATTGTATTTTCAAGTTTTGTATTTGCTAGATTTTTTTCATCTCTGCTGTTTGAATTTACTTACTTTTCTTCTGTATTAAATTAAATTACTTCTGGAAAATTATAATTCAATAAGTAAGCATACCCACTCAGTTATCTTCAATGTTGACACTCACTTGGTTACCCAAATACACTTTATATACATTTTCTATTAAATGGAATTTAATGACATGACATTAAGTTTTCAGACTTCATAGTAGTAATGAAATAATATTTCTGAATATTCCGAGTTTTAAAAAATGCGACAACATTGACTGAAACCAAGATAGTTCTTACAAAAAAATTTAAACTAAAAAAACGGAAACATAAAATATTTCAGAGGAAGAAATTACTCTCAAGTAATTTTTTGCCTTCAGGGTTGTCCTTTACAGTGTGCTGAAGGTGTACATGTTTTGGTTTCCTTGTACTATTCTGGTAAATATAAAGGTAATTTGGTTAATGAGTTAAACCAAATACTGACAAAGGCTTCCTAGAGAGGTGACTGAGGTTGAGGTCCCAACCCTGTCAGTGTTTAAGAAGCATTTGGACAATGCCCTTAATAAAATGCTTTACATTTTGGTCAGCCCTGAAGTAGTCAGGCAGTTGGGTGGTCATTGTAGATCCCTCCCAACTGAAATGATCTATTCTATCTTATTCTTAACATATCTTTTGTGTTGCATTAATCAGAATATTGAAACATTATCACTACTGACACCAGGAATGTTCACTATGTATTTTAATTAGAAAAATATTTTCTCGTCTTGCAAGAACAACACAAAATAGCCAAAAAAGAAAACTGAGCAGTCGTAGTGTTTTTACTGAAGAACTTGAAATAAAACTGAGATCCAAATAGATTCAAATTTTCAAACCAGGCCTGTCTTTATTTTCTATCAGACTAACTTTGACAATGTAACACACTGCTACGTACTGAAAAACCTGCTATATTTGACTACTGCAGATGTCTCTGTAGGTGTATGTGAAGAGTACCCATCATATTATCTTTGAATATTGAACAACATTTGAGTCAACCAACTAACACTTTTTGATTTTTTAAAATTTTTTTATTAATATCAACATTGGATTTTATAAACTATTCTATCAGCATTAAGAATCATCCCTCACACAATCTAACCTGAAGAAATAAGTATCATCAACTATTTTTTCTGCAAATGGGTGTATCTGGTTTGTAAAATCACAGTGATAAGGGCCCTGAACTCAACTCATCCTAACTCATATATGAATATTTAATTCAGAGGAACTGCTGGCAGTAACATATCCTCTGTTGCTGCAGGAATTGAACATAAGATTCTCTCAAATAACCAAACCTCACATCAGTCAAGATTTATGGCTCATGGCAAGTACTTTGAATATGCCATATAAGAAATAATATTAACAAAACAGATTTTTTTGTTTTTGGGTTTTTTTTCAATAACTAATAAGTATACATACAATTTCAAATTATACTAGACCTGAAGAAAATCACCTCCTCCTAGTCATTCAGTAGTGGTTACAATATAGAACATACTTCAACAAATTTTTTCTTCACCAATGTGGGCTCTCCATGGGTTGTGTTCTCCTTCAGGATATATCCACCTGCTCCAGTATGTGTTGTAGTGTGGATAACTACCCCACTATGGTTGTCCATGGACTAAATGAGGACTAATAGCTTCACCATAATCTTTTCCACAGGCTGCAGGGGAACCTTTGCTCTGGTTCCTGGAATACACCTCCTCTCCCTCTCTCTTGGTGTCTGCAGGGCTGTTTCTTTCACAGCTTTCTTACTCCTCTCTGTCACATATACTATACAGCTTATTTTTACCCTTTCTTAAATGTATCGCAAAGGTGCCACCAGCATTGCTGATGAGCTCAGCCTTAGCCAGCAGCAGGCTTTTTTTTTGGAACCAGCTTAAATTGTTTGTGTCAGACATGGGGGTAGCTCCTGGTGTGTCCTCAAAGAAGGTTCAAGGCCACCTTTTCAGGCATCCATCTGCTCCACAGGCTGCAGGTGGATCTCTGCATCCACATGGACCTCCGAGGGCTGCACAGGGACAGCTGTTTGCCATGGTCTTCACCAGGGCCTCTAGGGGAATCTCAACTGTTGTGCCTAGAGCACCTCCTGCCCATCCTTTCCCACTGACATTGGTGTCTGCAGAGCTGTTCCTCTCACATATCTCACTCCTCTCTTCTCTCACCACAATTACAACTGCAAACCAATGTTTTTCCTTCTTGAATATGTTATCACAGAGGTGTTCCTGTCATTCCTGATTGACTAGGCCTTGGTCAGTGACAGGTTTGTCCTGGAGCCACTTGGCGTTGGCTTGGCTGGACATGGGGGAAGCTTCTGGCAGCTTTTTTAAGTCACCTGTGTAGCCCCCACGCTACCCAAACCTGGCCACACAAACCCAAGACAAATGATAATATTTCAAACCTAATCTTCTTACAGTCTTTCCCTGAGGCTTATATAATTGGGCTACTGAGAGTGTGACAGATTAGGGTCCTGCAGAGGTAGATAACATGGCTTCCTGAATGTGTGAACTATTGTATAATATCCCTTAAATATCCATAAGAAACTGGAACTATTACAAAACTATTTTCCTTTTTTCAGCTTAGATTGACATCTAATATATGTGATCTGTGTAAGCCAAATGCTTCTGTAAACAAAACAAAAGATAAAAAAATCCTCTGAATGGTTAAACGATCTATAATTTGATAACATCCTAATTCCTTGGTAGCTATAATTCCTGGGTTAGGTGATTTGGGTATATTATGTGCTATAAAATTTTGGAATACTTTCATTGTGGTTGTTTAACTTTAAAAATCCACTTCATTTCTGAGGTTATCCTGACAATTACAGTATAAGACCTGGGAATATTGCCTTCAGTTTTAAAAAATCTTCATGTTTAAGGGAATGCAGTCATATTAGAGCATTTAAAATATATTTTTCTTCATATATAGAATGGTAAAGAAAATAAATGTTCTAAGCCTTTTATTTCTAGCGTTGTGGAAACTGTGGGCAGACAGAGCAGCAAAATGAAATTAAGCTGTTTGGACAATTTCAGTGGGTGCCTCAGGGGCTGTTTTGTTGGGAAAAGGAGCTACTTCTACAAAAAAAAAAAAAGTACTGGTGTAAGAGTCTAATATGAAAACTGTCTTTCAGGGTCAGAATCCTAATTCTACAAAGGCACTGCAGTCCTGAAACAAAACTGTAAACTCATTCGGGCAACAGAATTTTGAACAACTCTCTGCATGATATTTCATTTTCTGTGGTTTAGTCTCAGAATCTTAATGAAGTTAGCATTTAGTGTGTTGATTCTTATAAATCATCACTTAACATACATAACTTCTGTTGTGAAGGCATTTACATATTGCTATTGTGAACTCCTCTCCTACTTCTTCATAACTGCAGAAACCATGACTTTATAAAAACTTATGAAGTATATGCAAAGCTTTCCAATTGCAAAATTTTCCTTTTTAAGCTAGATCCACTGCCTTGTTAACACAGTTGTACCATTCACTCTGATTATAATTTAAAGGCATCTTTGTCGTTTGCAGTTCTGCTACACATATATCTAAATATTAAATGAGATGTTCTATGAGATCTTCTGTTGATTCTTTAATATATGTCTTTGAGAAAACAGAATGAGAAAAGGAAAAGTGAAAAATAAATTTATCAGAATT